GATTACCCGCCGATGATGCGGCCTCCGCACGCTCCCTGCTCGCATCTCCTCGGCTCGAAGGCCCTGGCGCCGAAGGCGCCAATCGCGGCGCGTTGTGCGCCGGAGGGTCTGGCCCCGAAGGCCGATGTCTCGTAGGCGGATCTTCCGCCGGCTCCTTCCCCTTCCTACGTTGGAACGGGGGTGATTCCTGCCTGTGCAAAGGCGGCACGTGTGGAGGTGACCTGTGCACAGGCGGACTGCTTCTTCCTACGCGTAGGCGTAGATCCACGTCCGCTTGTGGTCGCATGTCCGCGGAGGCTCGTCTGTCCGCGGAGGCTCGTACATCCGCGGAGTCTCGTCTGTCCGCGGAGTCTCGTCTGTGCGCAGACGGAACACCTGTCCGCAACGCACGTGGTAACTCCGGAGGCCCTCGGCTCGTAGGCGGCCTCTCGTCCGTCGAGGGTGCAGTGCGGTCCGTTGCTCCAGCGGACGTCCGCGCTCCCTCGTTCCTCTCTGGCGACGCACTTCCGTTCTCCGTCGCAATCGTCGCCGTGTCCGCGCTGTTGGCTGGTAACACCAGCATGCGCGCCTTCTGCTTCGGCCGGCTGTATGACTCGTACAACGGCCGCGGTCGAATGGGAGCAGAGGGTTCTTGATGCTGCTCTTCTTCGGACTCCTCTCTCCATCGCCGCTTCCGCGGCGCCCGTGCTGGAGGAGTATTCCTCCCTTCGTCCCTCCTCCTTGACGGAGTAGAAGTCGGGGACTCCTCTGCATCAGTGTCGACCTCATTCTCCCGCACATACCTCCCGGGATGGTCGACGGACAACGGCGGAAAACGCGCAAGCTCCGCCGTTGTCAAACAATTCCGCTGTCGATAAAAATTGATGAGTAAAGGAGAGAGATGGTTTAGAGTTCCCCCCTTCTCCTCAAAAGCGTGCTGTCGCATCACCCTGTGCAGGATGCTCGCCTAGTGAATTGGAGTCCCTTCGATGATGCACTCCACAAAAGAGACCTGCCACAATGTGATGTAGCAGGCGCTGTGTGGCTGTAGTAATTGCAGCAGCGCCGCGGACAAAGTCCGGCGGAATCGATCCTTGTAATCGCGGGTCCTGTACCCATTCTTGGTAGACCTCCCGTTCTTGAACAGCTCCACAAATTGCGCCTCTTCCTGCTTGGTCACCTTGACGCTCTCACTGTCAAAGAGGAGGTGCCCTGGCATGCCGGCACATCTCCCCAATGCCTGCGCCCAATCTTGGACTGTCCACCGATCAACATGCGGACGCAATCCGCGCGAAGGTGGTCCCTGTGGCTCTAGCCACTCGCGCACCATATCCGCATGGATGTAGTTCCATCCCCATAGCAAGAAATCGAGCTTTCTTGCTATCAGGCGCTCCTCGAAAGCGCGCAGCCCGTTCTGTGGTAGACGGAGCGGCAGCATCCGCAATCGGCCCGATCTCGTCATTACGTTCTTGGAGTTCGCCCGCTTGCTCATTCTACTTCCGCTCCTCTCGAGCTCCTTCCTTACTCGGCAAACTCTAATCGCCCTCAATTCCAAATCACGCGCACTCACTTCTCCCTCAATCACCAAGAAATCCTCTGCGCGGCGATGTCGAGAATGCTTAGCAGCCAGCAGATGGACGCGCGTAGCTCGAACTAGAGAATGGAATCGCGAATTCAAGAATGGGACGCTCTCCGCCGCCCGGTCGAAGGTCATGGTCGGCTCTTGCTCGTGGAGGACGACTCAATTGATGGCCGCGCCGGCTCTACGCTAAAACGGTCTCCGCTCTCACGCGCGGCTTCACGCTCCGCCGTTGCCGATTAAACTCTCACGCTCGAATTGGCGAATTTGAACTCCGCGAGCGTACTACGCCGCGGACATGGGTGCGCAGCGCCGAAGGCGGATTTTCCGCCTTGCGCGGTACACTCGTTCGTACCGCTCCTCAGCCAATCCTCTTCTGCCTCGGCGCGTGTGTCCGCATGTCGGACAAAAGTTCAACTCCCGCCTGCGCGCAGGCGGACTCCTCGGCGGATTCTCTGCCGGCGCGGAACTTCACCCTCCTGTGCACAGGCGCTCGCCTGTGCGCAGGCGAATTCCGTCCGCGTCGATGCGCTGGCGCGGAAGTCGTTGACCGCGGTCAACCGACTCCGTCCAGACTGTCCGTTCCTTGTCTCTCCGTCGGCGCTCTCGCCGCCGCAACTCCGTCCGTCCAAGAGCGCATCCATCCGTCCCGTCCGTACAGTCCGCATGGTCCGTACGGGTTTTACTATTCTGGCGGCTCCTTGCTCGTCCGCGGCGCTGCGCTGGCGCAGAAGGCGCCGTACAATTTCTACCTCACAAGGCGCATTTCTAGGGCCCAAGGCGGATTTCCCGCCGACGCCGAAGCGCCTGTGCACAGGCGCACGCCTGTGCGTAGGCGAACTTCGCGCCTACCTCAAACCCTATTTCGCCTGTGCGCAGGCGAACTTACTTCGTCCGCGCATAGGACAAAACTTCTCCGCCTGTGCACAGGCGAAGAGCTGAGTATCTTACAACCTTCATAACTCCCGGAGTCCTTATCCGTTGTAGGCGTTCTCAGGCTCGTTGGAATCAATGCGTCGAGCTCTTTCCAACGAAGCCCTAACTAAGTCAAGGCGTCCGGGGGTTGACCTAAATATGAAGGATTTCCCTACCGCCGCGGACGCAGCTCCGAAGGCGGGTTTTTGTGCCTTGCGCCGTAGGGATCCTAACTGCAGAGCCCGCAGGGAGGGTGGTGCCCGCCCTTACCGCTGCACCCAACGCCTAGATTCTACGAGGTTCCTCGAGAATCTCTGCAATCTTCCGAATTCACTCTGTTTTGATGCACCGAAGGCTATTTACACTGCTGCCGGGGTACAGTTTTCCAAAAATGTTTTAATTTCCTCAAAATTACCAAAAGTGGGGTACCACAGTCTCACATAGGTGTTATATTATGGTGATAACAGTTGATTCAAAGCTCACTTGAAAATCTGCCAAACTATATACTTGATTCTATAAGTTTTATATCCATTTTTCCCCTTCTTTCTTATATCGCTGATGAACTTTAGTTCATCAAAATCATAACCGATTAGTCATTCCTATCGCTTTCAACCCAGACCATTTCAATCTTTGTCGAGATTTTGTGGCCTAGAGCTTTGGTCGAAAACCACGCATTAAAGGTATCCAGATACTTCCGTTTCCTTATTGATTTCAGTGCTTTTCGTGCTTTTGATAGTTTGGGCTACACTTGATCTTTCCTCCATGAAAGGAAGTCTCGCCCAATTTTCTAGAGCCTTGATATTATCTCTAGAATCTAATCCACCACCGAAATAAGAGGGCGAATCGTCCCTATCAGCCAGCACCTGGTACAAAACCCGTCTCTTTATAGGCCTAGGAGAAGCCTCTCAACTATGACATTCATTCTAAGATATATGGGCACATAAGGCTAGACGCGAAGCCATGAGAACAACAAGTCGAAAGAAAAGAATGTAAAAACTACTTTCTCTACGTGAACAAATTTTGTTGGTTCGTGCTTGCTTTGTGCTTTATTGACAGAATCATGGCTTTTTATCACTGTTCTTTGCTAACGACATGTTTAAGCAAAAATTGTACATTAACACACATTACTGGTATCCTGGTCTTCTATCACAATGTTGACATCTTCGATAGTACCATTTATAACATGTCAATGAATGATATAATTTGTCTATAAAGCCAATAATCATCAGATCTTACTCCTTTGAGATCTGGTGATTATTCAATAAATCTCCTGTACGCAATCCTCCCGTCCAATACGACATATATTTGTCAGATACTTGCTTGTCGTACAGCATGTGTAGGCCTCCTCGTCTGCTTTGGAAGTCGCGAAAACCTCGGTTCACATTCTTTGCTGGATTGTTCTGTAGTGTATCTTCTGGCGATAACATGCACAAAAAACAGCTTCAATGTATCTGACATTTGACACCTTACAAGATTCTGCAATCAAGGCAAGGCATACACAAAAATCATCAGTGAGAGGGCAAGTCCGGGCTATACGCTATATGTTATATGCTTATCCAGAAACTATATGATGTTTTAAGTTAATGGAAGAAGCATCAAGTCACAAACTACAGTGGCAGCGTCTGAAGGTTTCTTCTTGTGTTTGGGCTGCTGCACCGACTCTCGCTGTCCTCAATTTTCTTTTAGTGTTATGAGTGTTCAAAACGAGGCCATGATCGCAGGATGTGAAGCACAAGGGATCAATCTCACCAAGAAATGGTGAGGCACTATCTCAAACATTTCTGTTAAAATTGTCGCCATTTCTCTATCTCTGTCACTTTCTGGACTCTCGTTATCTGACTCAAGTGTTTGCCCAAGTGCGAGCAGGTCGATGACAATTTGGGACCAACCGTGGCTGATCTTTCGTCTAATGATACTCCCGACGTCTCCCAGCTGTAATTTCTTCTACCTTTCCAAAATGGGAGTCGATTTAAAGGACATGGAAGGTGACAAAAAGGGACATGTAGGGTTAAAAGTCCGAAGCTAAATAAAGAATCGACTTTCCTAAATGGTGAAATACAGTAAGATTAATTTCAGGAACATGCATGAACATGTAAATCTCCTAAGCCTTGATGCCTTTGTGTGCCACGGACAACCGTGTGCCTTCTGAAGGAACTTGTAACATGACAATTAAAGTCGGTAAGAAAGTCACCTGGAAAAATTTTTGTTCGTCATGTGGAAAGACATTCATGTTTGCAACCACACTCTACATCTCTGGTTTAAGTTTGTCTTCTTACCTGCAAGAATGAAGATTGCAGTCGAGCTGTAGATAGTGACTTGAAGTCCAAATCTATCTATCGGGCATGCTGTGCTTATGAACTTGGGCTCAAAAGTATGAATAATACATTGGATTTTCTGTACAACCAGCTATAACTACCGTTTTGGTTCGCTCGATGAAGCATAGTAATGTTGCCTAGAGACAATAACGAACTACGTTAATGCTGTAGAACACAGTTCATGGAAGTCCCTCGGGAGCCCACCGACACTCGAATGATATCCAGAAGCTCTTTATTGGTTTCTGAGAATTACACGATAGGTACTCTTAAAGCAGATACAAGAATATTCTGGTAACTTATCTGAGTCAGATATACAGCTAGAATGCACAGATACGCTCATTCGCGTCCTACCGATATAAATCCACTGTCAGTTGGGTATCCAGTTACTTGAAGTCGTCAACCACAAGTTGAAGTATGTCTTGAGCCTCACGATAGTCCAAGATTTGCTTCTCAGATATTGAATATCCTCGAGATTTTGACATTTTCAAACAGAGGCTATGATATTCGACGCATATGTTCTGTCTGTCGTAGGTGCCCACAGCATGACGCCTCCATAGTTGCCGATCATTTTGATTTGCTCGAGCACGCCGCCACCCTCTATCAGAGTGCTGCTATCAATATATCCTCCTCCCGCAGCAGCTGCGCTAGCAGGCAATCCCAAGAAAACTTGTGGTGTACCGGGGATGTTGTTAGTCCACTGAGTCCAGGAACTGACCATACCACTTACACCTGCTCGGAAATCACAGTCGGGGTTGTTGTAAAATTGCACGAACACGAAGTCCGCCAAGCTTGCATCCAGAAACGTGCCCGTTGCCGGACCCAGAGACGCGTCAGGATATGGGCACTGAGGTGCTGCAGACATGTACAACTGCTTGTAGTTGTTGTTCTGAGCTATCTCTTTCAAACGTCCTCCCAAGTCTGGATAGTAGGACGGTCCGCCACTTTCAATGTCCAGATCAATGCCGTCTAATTGTGCTGCTCCCAAGGGGCTGTTGTCGTTGCTGCCTCCCAGGTAGTTATCCCAGATGTATTGCGCCAGCTGCCTGGCTTCGTCAGCCGAGTCGAACCCGTATCCTCCAGCTCCTCCACCTAATGAAAGGAGCACTTTGATTCCTAAGCTCTGGCATGCGGCGATATCTGAAGCATATGTTGCACAAGTTCCAGAGGCAGGATCGCAGTGACCAGCCAGGTTCAGGACAGGGGTTTGGCCTCTGCCGAATGCTGATAGGAAAGCTATCATGACAATGCCGTAGTTGTTGGAGTTACATAGATCGGCCAGGCTACCTTCTGAACCAGCGTCGTCATTCCCACTTTGGCCCCAGTAAGTTGCAATCTGACCTGCAGACGAAACGTTCACAGCAGAAAGCACGACGAGAATGGTTAAGACAGAGCCTAGCACTTTCCTCTCAAGAGAGCGGTTCCCCATGATTTCTTTGTAGCAGATCGTAAGACTGACCCTGCAGCCGAGAACCTTCCACCAAATGCCAACTTTCTATCCGAGAGTCGAGTCTGCTATTTTCATGTACTTTTCCTATGCAAATACCTCTCCAGCTCCGGCAGGCGTCTAGATTTTTTTTGGGTTTATGAGCTCCGTGTGATTCAGAATTGGGAATCGGACTCGAAAAGTCCCTACCCGTCTTCTTCACAGATGTCGAAAAAGCTGATTAAGATGAAATGATCCTGACATCTAATGACGGACTTGAAGCTTGTGGGTGTCAGAATGGAATGCAGTATTTAAACTCTTCCCTTGTGAACATTGGGGAAGTATAATTCTGACGTGTCACGAGAATCTAATACACAGTAGGAACGAATTGTACATATGTATCACACGGAACAGAGAAAACGGCTCAAACAGGAATGAATGGTCAAACCACTCGTTCTTATATATTATCTAGTTGGGGTCGTCCTTGTGACTTACAATGGCTTGAGCCATGGAATGTGCACTTTTCTGCAGGATTCGACTGTACATTTCAGGCTTTTGACAATGACATTACACATTGAGCATTAGACAATGACTAGAATTGGTGGGAACCAGAAATCTGGAGCCCTAAGGATCCCATAAGAAAGAAAAGCTGAAAACCGATTGATGCCAGGAAGATATCCTTGGGTTGAACAAGATATGTTTGAGCAGCCCCTGTGACTGCCAAGTCACCTTCTTCTTATGTGATTGGCATACGTCTTACTTGAGTGAATCCTTAAGGCTAATATACAATGCTTGTGAAAAGCCTTGCCCCCAGATCTAGAATTGCCTGCAACTGTACCGATGCAAGCCTTTGTCTATCCGAGAATCTAATATACAGGGAACTTTGATCAGCATGAGAGATTCAAGTATTTTCATCTATTGCATTCCTAGGTACTGCATAAAAATTGAATGTATAATCTGATTTAGGTATTATCGTATCATTAAGATTCCTCAACTCTAACTCTCTAACTTCCTCATGTTTCAATCCAGTTTTCCAACTCAATTCTACATATTGAAATCGGGAAGTTCTACTCTTACTGCACTTTTTGCGCATTCATGTGATGAAGTCAATCATTCATTTTTGCCCATAAAACCGAAAGCATTCAATTATATCTCAGATGATGGAGGATGAATTGATTTAGGCACCTATGATGAAAAGCGTTGTAATTGATTCACACATGTATGAAAGTAAAATTGTTGAAATTTTTTTGTTGATGTAAAAGACAGCTTCAACTCCTATTTCTTCATACGTTAATTTTATTCCTAGGCCCATTTTCACATCTGCATACATCACAATGCGTTACTTTAGTCTTCAAACGGATTGGTTTTTCCTTTACATTTTGTCATCTATATATTCAATCTTTGAACCCTTATATATGTGGCATTATCTTAAATATATTCTTATTACCTCGACTTGGCTTCGGAAAGAGCAAAAATGATTTCAAGATCTTATACGCATGAGGTGTTGCTTTGTGTGGTACATCTCTTGTTAAGAACATGACCATGGATTAGGAGTATCTTATTGATAAATACTCATCAAATGATCGTTAAAAGAAAAAAATTCGTGGACAATTGTTTTCGTACTTGTTTCTTCTGAATCTGCTGAATCAAAAATAAATTGCAAGAGGAACATTGTATAAATTCAAATTTAATTCAAGGAAATGTGGGGAAAAAATTCAGAGTTTGGCCTCCCCAGATGATTCTCCTTCTAAATGGAAGAGCTACCCTAACCATCTTCATTATATTCCTAATGCCACATTTTTCAACTTCTAGAATAAGAGGGATTTATTGTAATGGCTTGTATGGCTCCCAAGTAAGAAAACTCTAATATTGCTCTTAAAGGAAGCATAAAAAATCTTCAGCTCAGAGATCTCAACATTAAGAGATAGGTAGCATCTTTGAGTCGAACGCTATAGTGATTATATATTTCCGCTTGGTTTCAATTTGAGAGCTAGACGCTTTCAGGGATTATCAATTTAGCTAGTAGCACAATGTATAGTCATTTTAGAAAGCCGGAAGTGTACAGTCAAATCCAGCAGAAAAGTGCAGATTCCATGGCTGGATCCATTGTAAGTCACAAGGACGACCCCAACTAGATAATATACAAGAAACAGTGGTTTGACCATTCATTCCTGTTTGAGCCGCTTTCTCTGTTCCGTGTGATACATATATACAATTTGTTCCCACACTGCATAATATTCTCGTGACACGTCAATGGTACACTTCCTAAATGTTCACAGGCGAGGAGTTTAAATACTGCATTCCACTCTGACACCCACAAGCTTCAAGTCAGTCATTAGATTTCAGGATCATTTCATCTTCATCAGCTTTTTTGACATCTGTGAAGAAGACGGGTAGGGACTTCTCGAGTCCGGTTCCCAATTCTACCACACACGGAGCTCATAAACCCAAAAAAAACTCTGGACGCTTGCTGGAGCTGGGCAGGTCACTTCATAGAAAAAGTATACGAAAATAGCGGACTCGACTCTCTTATAGAAAGTTGCCACTTGGTGCCTCCTGTAACTTAGGATATTGCGGAATCTCCGAGATCTTGGTCTGGGTCTCTACTAAAGACTTCGTCTTATCGAAATTCTTTAGATTAAGAAACAGTTCCCTGTTAGATCAGGGCAACGAACTTGTCAACATATTCTTGCACTATGCTGATGCAGGTCCCATTTGATGCATTGTGAAATGAATAGTGCAACTTGGGTCTTGATTGATGCATTTCTACTGCGAGACCACGGATCAGAAGAATGGTCTTGTGCTAGTATAAAGACGCGCTATCATTTCTGAGGAAGCAAGCCACTCTCTCATATCTTCAGTGATGATCTAGCCCTGAAACACAAACCTGTGTTTCACAAAATTCCAAAAAAAAATTTCAAGCTCAGTGAGTGTCTGCAGCATTTTCACACTCTTCGAAATCTTCAGAGGTTAAGGCACAGATTCTCTTCAGCAGTTTATCACCATCTGACAGAATGGGTCGTTTGCTACCTTCGTCATTCGCTCTGCTAGTTTTCGTTGCAGTTGCTCTGACCCTGCAGTCCGTGCAGGCCTCTGATCCAGAACTCACCAAGGATTTCCAGGTCCCAGCAGGAATCAATGCAGCCGATATCGATGGAACGTTCTTCACCAGCGAGGCCTTGAAGAACGTCATGCCCAACGTGGCTTCACCTTTTGCAACTGTCACCACAGCTAATCTGGTTGCTCCAGCAAAGGCTCCATTTCTCGCAGTCGATGGACTCGGTGTTTCCATGGCTTTGCTTCAGTTTCCACCTGGCACCGTGAACCCGCCCCACACTCACCCGCGTGGAACGGAACTCTTGTTCATTATCGAAGGCACTCTGGACGTGGGTTTGGTCGATACCACGAACAAACTTTTCACCAACACGCTCTACAAGGGCGACATCTTTGCTTTCCCCAAAGGCCTCGTTCATTTCCAGATCAACAACGACAAGTACAAGACCGTCACGGCACTTGGCGGATTCAGCAGCTCCAACGCAGGGCTGGTCCGATTGCCGAATACTCTGTTCAATACATCCGCGCCAATCTCTGATAAGGTGCTGGAGATTTCTTTTGGCATATCTGGTGATGTAGTCAAGGCACTGAGAGCTCAATTCGCCTGAATTAGTTGTTGGAAATTTCGAGGCAACTCGATCTTAGCAGGCAACATTCAGATTAGAGACAGTTGTTGAAGGTTGCATTTGGTGACTTCTGAAATTTCATGAAATATAAATATACGTCCGGAAACCGTTAATACGGTCTGGAAATACTCTTGGGGTATGATCAGTTCTCGTCCGTTGCACTACTTATACGTTAAACAGTACCTACACAACAAGTGTAATTTAAAAGCTGAAGAACCCACATCGAAGTATCGCTGACCTTATTACCGAAAATTGATCTTCTTATTGCTCAGCGGACACGTGAATTCATATACAGGACTTTTGTTTATGAAAGTATATTCATTCAAAACACATCCACTGCATACTTGAATGAGGAACTTGTGCCGTAAGCGATGCTCTATATGCCAGAGGTTTGGAACGAATGATATAGTTTGGATTGTTTCTAATGTCTGTTCAGTCTACATTGTATATTGAGAGTTTTCTTGCTGTTTGAGATGAATGTTTCTAATATTATGATTTATGCCTTTGATAAATCAATTTTATTTACATTCTTTCTGGATAAAAATTCATGTTTATTAGCATGGATGTTTTTGCTAGAAGTAATAACATTCCTTTTGCCATTAAGTAAGTCGTATGTACATAATAGTTAAAACAATCAAGAATTTTTCAGCGAGTTAAACGAGCAAATGAATGAAAACAACTGATAATGGAAAGTTTAATTTACATTTACGTGAATCCACGAAGGCTCATGCAGAGGGCAAAGAAAGATTTCACTTGCGAGGGATATTTTGCGTTTTGGCTATGTAATATAAACCTTGCACAAATATCCAGAGGAGTCTGAAGACACCACAAGAGTAATTACAGGAACGCCCCAATATTTCAAATATGTCGGAGAAGTTGCCTACGCTGCACACACTTTGACCCAGATTTCTCCCTGCGTCATTTGGCAACTATTGGGTCATGTCTTTCGGCTATAGAATCCACTTGCTCTAGAGGCGGCCATGCGCAGTATATTAATTGCGGATGAGAAATGAGCCCTCACATCCCACAACAAACCGCAAATCAAAATTCAGATCCGAGACTGCTCCAGGTCGCTCCCAGTGCACGACGTAGACCGCGAATACGGATCTCTAACAGAACCACTGCAATATATCGGAGATGAACCTCCTTGCTGCTATGATCCTCGCAGCTGCACTAATGTCAGCTACCAACATTGTTCATGTTTGCCTTTTGGCAAATACTACGCTTCCAGCTGAACAAGGGGATGCTGCTTGCATCGAGCCTGAACGTCCTCAACAGTCAGAATCCTGGTGTTCAGGTCATCCCTTCAGCTTTGTTCGGAAGTGGCATAGACCGTGAATTGCTGGAAAAGTCATTCTTCATGAAGGCGACTCAACTTGCTGCGTTGGAAAACATTTTCGCAGAGTGACACGTCGATTTTTTGAAGTGCCAGGAGAAATCTTAGACTTTACTGGCATTGAGACAATCTGAGTGCCAGGTGTAGGTAGTCCAAGGGCTCAGTTAAGTAGAAATTTGACTACGATTTCTTCGATGCAGTTCATCGATGAGATTGGTATCACAATCATTGAACTTATTCATTTTCAATGCAGGCGA